GTCTGGGCTACTTGCCTTCCTCGCTTCCTCATTGACCAGCTTGAAGCTATCCAGAAGAGGGCCCTGCGAATCGTATACCCTGACCTCCACCATCAACAGGCTCTTGCACAAGCCAACATTACCAGTTTAGAGGATAGACGCGCCCACCTGTGTCTTAAAGTGTGGCACCATATCAAAAATAACCCGGATGGCCAGCTGCACCGCCTTCTCCCTTCCGTGCGATCCGAATGCCACTCTTACCATGTTAGGAACAGTAGTAGTTCTAGCCGCTTCCAGTATAGAACAAAACGCTTTGGTTCTAGTTTTTTCCCAGCAATGGCAAAAAATTAACTAATCTTACAAGTCTAGTTATCTCTAGTATTGTTCTTTATCTATATCTGAATTGTAAATAACTTATAAATAGCCTGTAATCCCAGTCCCTCTGAAACAAATGTAATTTTATCTTTAGTTGTAACTTATGTAAGCACATTGTAATTCATAGTTTTTATGCCATCATGTGTATTTTAATAAACCATCATTATTATTACTATTATTATTATAAACTAATTACAAATCCGAAAGCAAGTCGACCTCGTCTCGAATACGAGCATGTCCAAAAGGATAAGACTTGCGGGTGGTCCTGTCGATCACTCGTTTGTCAAAGACCAGACCATATTTCTTTTCACGTCGAATCAGCCGAATGCGTTTGTTGGTCTGGTCCCTATGAAAAAAATTCTCATCCACTAGCTTCATTTCCCTCCTAGAGGTTTGGGGTACATCTAATTCTTTCAAAATGTTGTCACGCAGAGTATAGTAATTCAACCGTTGCTTGGTTTTGTAATTGAGGGAAAATCCTCTGGTCAGATACCCATAGTTTTTAGACCCCCCACTGTCAAATTCCACAATCGGGTCGCCTTCGACTTCATCCGTAAACTCTCCCAAAAAAACCGCCTAAGGGGATTTCTGCTTACCCTGGGCGCCATTTATAAATAACCGAATCGGTGCCATAATAGAGAACTCTTTCTTGAAGAGTTTCTAAGGCCTCAAAAAGTTTTAGACGAGCATGGGCCGTCGTCAAAATGGCTATAAATACATTGGTCTTCAGGCTCTTTTCCGCTTCCTCTTTGGCTTGGGTCGTCACGGATGGGATGGCTCCGATATGGTAGGAGGGGTCGTTGAGGATAGCATAAAACTGATGGGCGCTTTGAATGACATGTGTTCGCGGCTTGTTTTGTCTCTCTCCGAATTTGCCCCAGAAGCTGGAAGAGAGAAAAAGAAATAGAAAAACAAATTAAAAGGAGGTCTTTAACTTGCAGACTTTTCCTGCAAATAACGTTTCTTAGTAGCAGACTTTGTCTGCACCATTGTCATATATTTCCTTCTAATTTTGAGTCAACACCTTGCCTGTCATGTCATATGCTTCCTTGCTTCTTAAGTGCAGAATTTTTCTGCAAATTATGACTCTTATGACCAGACTTTTCGTGTAACTTACTAAGGAACTCACCTGTTGAGCAATAATTTCGCCACCGTTTTCCTCCCCGGGTTCTTAGCCACATGTTCCAAGGTAATTCCCTCCTTCTGCTCGTATGCTGGGTTGTATGCGTCTTTCTGTTCTTGAGTACGACAATCATCTGGCCATCCTGCTGATTCTTGCTTTATCTTCAGCCAGGTGTTGACATAATCCGCCAAGAGCCCTTCTGTCCTCTTCGCGGCAATGCCGCACCTCGTGGATTTTTTTTGATCTGATATCCCAGCTCTACCGCTTTTTGCAACTCCACTGTGGCCCAGGTCCCACGCAGCATCCTTTCAACGTCAGTGTGATTACATATGTTGCTTCTTTCGAGCCAGGGCTTGGCTTGTTCTTCTCGGACGCACGAGGCACACAGGGGAAAGGTGAGTTTACCATTAGAAAGGACAGGTAAGACGGGATGATACAAGTGCTCAGGGGCCAAAATATCAACTTGTGCCACACCAAAGTATTGATCTATATCTGGTTGGGATGGATTGGTATAAATGATCGGAAATCTCACCGGATATTCCTTATATTTATTGACCCATGGGTAAAGAGAGGTGACATCGCAATATTTGATGTCTTCCCCTGGGTCTGCTTTGGCATAAAGAGTGGCTGCCGCTGTACGAACCCCATAGAAAGCATCCCTCGGTTCTAAGAGGGGGTACCATTTCCAGGTCTTGCAGGAACGATTTTAACTGGGGGTCTGTCTTTTTGTCTTGGTTGAAGTCGCACTCCCATTTTTCAATTACTTGATAGCCAGCTTGCCTTAACATTGCCGCTTCCCTCTCAGTCGCGTCATACACTTCATTTACGGTTCGATCCTTATGGCAGTTGCGGCGGACATCTCGATTTCTTGGGAGGCAACGGGGGCACCCGTGAAAGTGGCACCCGTAAAATTCATAGATGGTTTTGGTTTCTTGATCAAAACCATCCACGGAAACCATTTTAGCAGGTGTCAGGACTTGTACTTCGCATCCACTTCTGACATGGCGGACTCGCCCCATTTCCCCGAGTTTGTAGTCTAGATAATAGAACCATTCTAGGGCCACGGCGCTCTGATTGATGTTATTGCCTCTCCATCCAGTCTGGATTCTCCTTTCGCCAGAGTTTTCGCCAGAACAAGTTGCACGCGCTGGCTATAGAGACGGATTCGACGAGAGGGTTGAACCCGGCGATTTCTTCGAATTCTTTCACAAATACTAAGCAGCCTCCCTTGAGTAACTTGATGTCCCTTTCGCAGTACTTGAGTAATTCTTCCTGAAAACTAAAGACAGCATTTTCAGCTACTTTCTGTGTGCCATGTGAGAAACTGCTCTATTTTCTTGGTATCCATATCAGGATTGTAATCCGCAATTGGGGGTACTTGCCAGAATAATTGAAATTGCATGCTTGGTTGAAGGCGTGAGGAAAAAATCCTTTGTGTAACTCTTGAAGGTGGAATGTGGAAGGAAATTTGTCTAGTGCCATGTCAAAAAAGTTCATTGAATCTTTAAAAATAAGATTTCCAGATTCAAAATAAAGGATTTTCGCATCTTGTGTCAGCGGTTTTTAAACGGCACGACCTTGCTTGTAGAGGGCTTCGAATATGAAGTTGCCGTCGAAGCCACGCATGTTATGGAAGAAGGTGATGACTTTGCATGGCCTCTCATCCCCTTCCACTTCTGTAAGGTCTTCCAGGGCCTGGAGGAAGTCCTCGATGGAATCACTATGAAAGATCTCGTAATCCTCTTCAGACGACCAGCAGATTAGGTTGGGCATAAATACTCTTTCTTCAGGTACCTGCCCAGGCTAATTTTGGTCATTTTAAATGCAAAACACTGTTCATAGTATGTCCCTGGATACGTTCAAAGCTTCATAATATTAATGACAAACTTAAATGGTACACCAAAAAAAACCTTTTTTGAGTGTCAGAGACCTTCTTGTGGGATTTTTGAGTTAATCATTAACCTACGCCTAATATTATAATTTGCATCTTTCTCCTTAATACTTCAAAGAAATCTAAAAGCAAAAACGTGCATATATAAAGATAAATAAAAGTAAGTTTTCTGTGGTTGGGGAAGACCTTTGTAGAAAAATCCTTGAAATTATTGCAGTGGGACTAAAAATTAACTTCCAGGGACTGGAACATTTCGTCATTTGCATGAGTGTCTGCCCCCAACCACACATTTCTTTGTTATTACCTTACGAAAGATCCTGCCAAGTTTGGGGGGAAAACGGGCTTTTCGTTGATTCATTTGCCATTCCATTCATGACATTTTTTACATAAAAGGCATCTGGAAAGGAAAACTTGAAGCAAATATCAATAAAACAGTGGCTAAAATGCTTCGTTCCGATTTTTGCCGCCATATTGAATTGATTTCCGCTGATCAATAGGCCTGAAGACGTAGTTTAGCCTCTTTCTACCCTCCCCCTCACCCTCCCTGAAGTTGTTTTGTTGATCGGTTGCTATGGAACATCATGCTGGGGCCAATCACAGCATGCATCATATCTGGTAAGGCGAGATGAGCAATTCGCAATATTGGACCAAAGAAGCTATCGAAACGCGAAAGAAAGAAATTACTAAAAGAAAAAGCTCAAAAAGCAGTGGGAAGTACACAAAAGTTTGCTTTGGCAGCTAACTGGACGGAGGAGCCATAGAAGAGCAGTGATCGTGTGCGAGGTGTTCGCAAAAGAGTGAGCTATGTCAGTCCTGGGAAAACGAAGTATTGGTCACAAAAAAGTGTTGAGAAAGAATTGGTTTCTCGTAACCTAAAGGATTGTCTTTATAACAAATCGGCAAGTTCTACGGAGGATAACCCAGATGGTGATGATGAAGACTACTGTGAGGACGATAGAGATGCTAAAAAGCGAAAGCTACAGTCATCTGATGAGCCGGATGAGTCATCAGACAAAAACAAAGGCTGTCTTGAAATCGAGAGGCGATTGTTTGTCTGCGAGTCCACACAACTTATGGATATGGTGGAACAAATAAATATTTATTTGATCGAGTAGTGAGCCAAATTTTTCACCGTGACATAACTTCCATACATACTTTACAAATAGTAAGTAAAGACTTTCACAATGCACGCAATTCCAACAATAGTCTGATTTTATCCATGCTTGTTTGCAAATGTGTAAATACTCCCTCACTGCCGAGTTTATTCTGATATATTTATGTACTGCTATGGTACATTTGCTTCTTGTAGGACTTCTAATCTTTTACTCATCATTATATGGCTGTGTGTTATCTAAAGAGCTCACTTAAATAATTAATTTTAGTTGAAGGGTAAAGACCAGTATTTTGTTCTACACTCCTCATTTTCCCTTATTATACATACATACAGTTGCTCCCTAAAAGGGTTTTTCAGCACCAATATAGTATGACCATGTCAAACAATTTATCTGAGAAATAAAACAATTCATCTGAGATCTATTTGAATAGTAATGAAATAAACTATGTTACTTTTCTACAAAAAAAGAAAACTTATCAGGGTTTATCTCACTGAAAGAACCTGTGAACTTTTTTTTCGCTATTGTTTACTTAGCTCTATTATTTCACATCCTTTGCTTTATTTGTGTTATGTCAACAGTGAGTTCAACAGGTTCTCAAATGTACACCAACGATGACCCACTAATTACAAACTGTTTTTGTTTTATACACTAAAAGGGAGAACTACATTCTTTCAACAGGTTTTCTTGTTGTGTCAAAAGTTGAACCAACAGGTCCTGGGGGGTGCATGAATGTTACATTTGCATGCAGTGGATACAAACTGCGTACCGTGAACTTTTGTGGTTCAGCCCTCGTTGAATGCTCAAAGCGGACAGTTGTTGGACTTGCTCTGGTTGTAGCATTTTTTATAACTGGTCATGGCTATGCCAAATTTTCCAGAACATTAAGGCAGTGTCCTGGCATTAGCTGCATTTCCCAGAACCCATACTATGAAACCATAAAGTTGGTATATCCTAAAGTCACGGAGATTTTGAATGGAATGTGTGATGAAGAGAAAGCAAGGATGAAAGAAATGAGCAATGGCGAGTTGGTCAGCTGAAAGAGGGCAGTGGTGACATCGGATGGTGTATGGCATACAAGGGGCCATTTCAGCAAAAATGGCTCCTTTATCATTAAGAAGATAATAGTGTATAAGGGTATTATACAGAATCTCATGAGGTTTCCATTCTGTTTCACGGATTTTTTCACAATGCACGTTTGGGGAGGATTGTCTGCCATCTTGAATAACAGCCCTTTTCACAGCTCCTAGTGCCATATTGGAAGAGCAACCGCGCAAACACAATATCAAGGCTGGGGTGACTTTCCGCGAGATTCAAACAGCTATTTTAGAAGGATTTCAAGGGCAGGGTTCGTACAGATTTCTGGATCCAAAATTCTAGACTTTTTCCAGTCGTATTACAAAACAACAATTTCTTTTTCCAGACTCAACATTATCAAATAGGTGATCACTAAAAAACCTTAGAAAAATGTTGGAACAAAGCTTTTTTGATGAATCAGAATCAGAATCGACAGAAGGAATGAAAGCAGATGCAGTGCGTAAAGTTTACACTTTACTAATGCGAGACATGCTACCATTGAGTTCGCTCAACATGAGAATTGAAGAACTCTACAAGATCAAAACGAATTTAAGTATGAAGCGACTATGGCAAGGATTTTGGCGCTAGAATGGTCATGGGATCTACGTCATTTACCAGCAATAAATTTCATCCAGTTAAGACTTCTTCGTGGAGTCCCCACGAAAATATCGAAACACCGTTCTAAAAGGAACACATTTAAAAAGCTTGAAAGTAAAGTTTTTGAAAATAAAACCTACAAAGGGGCCATAACCTAACCTTCGATAAAGATGCGTTGCACAAAAATCCGGATTCTTTGACCTGTACCTCAAGGCTATCAGTGTGGATCGTGCATCGAAATCAGGGTGTTGCTGCGAAGCCACTCGACAAAGTCCTAATAAAAGAGTGCCAAATCAGCGCCCTCGGAAGGAAGAGAATTTTAAACAACTTTGTGATAATATTCAGAATTGTTTACTGTCCAGCTCTTTCTTGTTTCATGACCTCACATAAGAATGCACAGGCACTGATGAACAGTCAACTGCAGCCGCGAATGAAGAGGAGGGGGATCAGGAGGACACACCTTTCACTGACAACTATGACATTGCTACTTCTCATTTTAAGAACATCGTAGATGAGCATGTTAAAAACTTGACAATAACATGTGACAAGAGCGACTTATGAAGTATGCAAATACTAGCAAAGACAAAACTGTTAGGGAAATGATTGAGGCTATGGATGGTGCCCTGGCTGAAGATGGGCAAAATTCAGCACAAAGACCGCACAGAAATAGTGACCTGGACGAACCCACGCCCTACTAAGATCATCGAACAGGACAGAGAGGTCTAACAAGGTTTGACGTTAATTCTCATGCAGGTCTGGGCGCACCTTTATTCCCTTTTGTTGGTCGATGCCACCATTGGTAACCAAGCCTTTAGTTAACAGAACAGTATTTAATATATTCCCTGGATTAAGTTAAAAATATGGCAATTACAGTCAAACCTGTATTAAGCAGTCACCCACGGGGAATGGCTAAGTGACCGCTTAATACAGGTATTGTGAAATTCTACATCAGGGTTAGTGGGAATAGCATTTTATTTGATACTTGATTATCTTTTGTATTTTTAAATTAAAAACACAAACAGAGGAGCTGGTTATGGTTAAGGAGTGCCATGTGAATATCATTTTGAAGGGGACAATTTTTCGCGCAATTGATTAAAAGAGAAGCTAGTTTAAGATCAATTTGATGTCCAATGTTGACATTACAGTTAAAAATAACCGAACGCCACTGTTCAGACAATTGATTTTGAGACATTTGTGGAAACAAGTTACACTTGTGATTTTAACTTTGACTCCCAGAATATATTTTTTGCAAACAGTGACCGTTTAATACAAGTGAAAACAATAAAATCAGCACTTTGGGACCTTAGAAAGGGTGACCGTGTCCGCCTAATAGAGGTGACCGTTTCATGGAGGTCAAGTTTACAGTAAATAAGGGAAGCGATTTCTGGGACTGACAGGTGACCACTTAATACAGGGTTGACTGTAACACGTTTTCGAAGTGTCTTACAAACAACAACATTGAACCCAAGTTGAATTTACCGTAAAAGTTATGGAAAGGGCTATGGCCACCTAACCAACCTATGACTAATTTCGACACTTGGTATTGTTTCTATCTTCAAGTAACTTTAAAAACCGCGCATGCGAGAGTGGAAAGGCAGATTTTTTGGCCAGATTTTAATCAATGGTTTAACGATGAAGAGAAGCGATTATTGTCAACTGGGGAAGACGACGTAAAAGTGGGTGTAATGCGACATGAGTTGGAGGAAGAGAGGCCATAGCCATGATTCCTCGTCGGGAGTAGGCACAGCAGTTGGCTTGCCGACCAGTAAAGTTATCAGCTATGCTACTCGCAATACAATTTGTTGGGTTTGCACCCATGATTGCTGCAAAAACAACCAGCTATTTATTTGTTTTCTGTCCATATCGCAGTGGTGTAGCTCACTCTACTTACGTGGGAGATGACAGTGCCACAGAAATTCATCTTAAAACGCTAGCTAGCTATGATATTGAGAAGTAGAGTGATATAAATCATGCAAGTCAAGCACAATATCCAGCACAAGGGATGGTTAAAGGGCAGACACCGAATATATCCTACATTCCAAGGTGAATAACTCATTGCATTAACCAAAACAAGGGCTACAAGTAAATAATTTTTTAAAATGTTTTTGAATAACGAAGAGTATTACCAGGCTGACATTTGTATGGCAAACTACACAGATGAATTCACACGGTGTGGCAATCAGGTTATGCAAGACAATTAAGGAAACCAAAGAAATTCACAAGATCAGGACAATGGAACAGAACAGGAAAAGAATAAAACTGAAGTAGAGAAAGAAACCAGCTCGGTTCTAGCAAGTGCACGCGGTGGAATCCCATAGGAGCGCTGGAAGGTTGTCAAAGAGCAAAGCGTGTTGTTTCTCTTGTTTAAAGCGAAGAAAAGGTCACCGTTGATTATGCAGTGATCACACAACAGAAGAAAATATTGGCTGTAGAAATTAACTGCGGTTGAGAAATCAGACTTGATTTAACCAGAACGACTACAACCTACACATTTTCGTTTTATTAGTTTTCTTATAAATGTTTGGTGAATCACAGGTAAAAAGTGTTGAGCATTTGCTGTAGTGAGAGGTAATTGTAATTCTTTAGGAAATCACACTAGTTTTCAGCAGTGCGGGCCATACACAATTCTGTCTATATGATGACGTCATCAAGATAGCGTCCTGGCACAATTCTCGAGAACTTATACCCACCCTAAAATTTTGTCCCAGTATTTTTGTCTACAGCTGTTTGGTCCCTTGAATCCCAGTTTTTCTGAAAGAGGACAGACAGAGCTTCCATTCAAAGCAATCAGAAATGGCGTCGGTTGAAATGTGCTGAAGAAATCTGCATTCAAAGTCAAACTGTTGCACCTAAATTGAGCTCAGAAAGGCTCACATGCTACAAGGAAAAAGGAAATTTGAGGTAGGGAAGATTTTTTTAGCCAAAAAAAAATACTGTGGTATTCTTTGATGATTGGGCGTCAAACATATCAAAGCAGAATTCAAGTGTACGGCGGTTTAGTTCAAGTACATGGCAGTTGAAGTGCGACTCTTAGTATTGCCCTTTACCACCATTGCTTGTTAAAGGGTAATTGCTTCTGCTATTCTAAAGGTTCTATTTTGCTCTTCTTTTCAGTTGGTGGATAGTCGTATTATATTCGTTTTAGGCCTTGATTTTTCGTCTCTATACATGCAAAAGAAGAATTACAAGTCAGCTGTTTAGAAAGAATGACGTCGTTTGAATGTGGCGAGGAAAGCCTCTTTTCAAGTTATTGGTTGTATCTTGATGACATGCTGTGACACGAATGAGAAGTTAAGGTTACTTAAGATGCTTTTGTGACCAGGTTTAAAGACGTGACATGGAAATAGGCTTTAGACTTGTTTATTGGGCAGTGAATTATTTAGCATTAAGATACATACATAAGGTTTCATAGATGCATTTTCCTTTTTGTCACACTACCACTCCTTACATCAAAATCACAAGAATTATATTCCCTGTATTGATAGATTCCTTATATTCATTATAGAATGAAAAGCATTAAATCCCAAACCATGAAAGGTAACTTAATGTTTTCTTTTTATTGTATTTTCAAAAGGTGTGCAAGTGGCACTCCCTTCTGGAAAGCAAATGACATGAAGGGCTATATTATTAAATGGCACATTTGATCTGCCAGCATGGTGCTTAGTGACTGTGGCCTGTGTGAGGAACCAGGAGAGACTGCAAGATCGGGCAATGGTTTTTCTCATGTTTACTGTATGTCTCATGAGAGCCAAAACCACGAGTGGCCATGCAAAAGTGCGTACCAGAGTCCACTAATGATAATTGCTCAGAGATCCATCATCAGTGCCTCTACAGTACGAGACAGTATTTAAATAAGCACATCCTTGATTAAGCAGTAGAGCTGAATCTTTTAGTTAAGTTGCAAGATGTTTTTTACTCTTTCTGATGTTAAATGGTAACAGTTTTTATCATTATTGTAGGTCCAAGGTGTGAAAGGAGTAGCAATGTTAAGCTACCTTCCAAATTTTAACATCATCAATGGCATACCCGTTGATTACATGCATGGTGTACTGCTCGGTGTGACAAAGTCTCTTTTAAACTTTTGGTTCTGTTCCAAGTACAGTCAAGATGAGTGGTACTGTGGCAATAGAGTTTCTGACATTGACAAAATGCTGATGAAAATAAAGCTCCGAAATAACATCACAAGGACGCCTAGGAGCATTGAGCACCATAGAAAATATTGGAAAGGTATATTGATTTAATAAGAAATACAACTGTTAAATAGTCCAAATGAAAATTATTATTCCTTACTCTACAAAAATGTACTGTTTGTGTAATGCTTAACTAAAAAGCTTTCTTGTTTATTATTCAGCAGCCTCTGAATTACGATCATGGTTGTTCCATTACTCAGTTCCAATAATGTCTAATTTCCTGAAGTTCTGTTACCTCCACCACTTCATGTTATTGGTGAAGGGAGTATACAATCTTTGCAAGGACTCCGTTTGTGTGGGAGACATAAAAGAGTCATCTGTTCTTTTGAAGACATTTGTCTACTAAAAGGACAAGTTCTATGGTGAGGGCATGAAAGATGTTGATACAGAGGAGGGGGAGTAGCTGGTTATGTCAATGTACGATTCTTTATTTAGTGACAGCAGAAAGTAAAATCCATCAAAACTATATGATGTACTTGTAACGAACACAATAATTAATATATTCAGATAATTTTCTTTATAGCCATTGAATAAGGATAAGAATGATAGAAGACATCAAGTCAACACTGTCTATTTCTGCTGCTCTTGTTGTAGGAATCACCTGCCCCAGTGTGTCATCTGGGATGGACCTCTGGGCATTTTCCCGTTTCTCATATGAAGATGCCAATGGGAAACTGAGGAAACTATTCCATCGCACTCAGCATGTTGAGATGCAGGTAGATCATGCATTTTTTTCTCTTACAGAAATGTGTAACTGACTGCTTTGGGGGATGTTTATACCCTTTGATTGTTTCTTCATTACAGGCTAGCCATTTGGGAAGGAATTTGGGTCCTAAACAGCTAGGTGTTTTTGCTAGAAAATGTTAACAATAAAATGTTATTAGTACTATATTATGAAAAAATGATTGGCATTAAAATGACTTGGTAGTGACAAATGATTGAAACTGTTTACTTAAGCATAACCTTACAGGAAACGGCGTTCCTTGTTGTCCCTTTTCAAGGGTAAAATGAGAATAAAAAAAATAAAGTTAACCTTTTTTCTGTTTGTATTCAAAGATTGTTGCTGCTGCGTCACTCACAACCAAGCGACCCACATTAGCCAACAGAGTTCCTGAGAATTCACGAGCCCAATCAGTTTACAGGAGACTGAGAAACACTTGTCCATTGTCAATGTACGTAATTGTACATGATTGTTCCAGATGTGATGACACTACATTGTTATAATGATAGTAATACCAACTAAAGTAGATTGTACACACACAGATCCTAGTATTATAAACTGCTCAGTTTATAATACTAGGATCTGTATGTGTACAATCTACTTCAAGTTCTTTTAAAAAATCTCTACCTAATCAGATATAAAGAAATTAGTTGTAAAAGAGTGTACATCATTTTTTGTCGAGTGTAATGGACACATTTTCCATTACTTTGGCACTTTATTCCGTTTTGTTAGCTTAT